AGAGCTGGGGTACAGGCCAGAGATTGTGGAGGGTAAGAGGATTCACCAGAGACAGAGCGGGGAACAGAACAGGCAGACGACTGAAATACACTGCTGAGGGGAGCAGTGGGCGAGACAGAAGAGGTCTGCCACACCATGTGGCAATCTCCCTGGCCGGCCAGGAATTGAACCTGCGCTGCAGAGGCTGTGGACAGCTTCACAACGTTGTGCTCAACCTGCTGCGCCACCTGGGAGGGCCAACAATATTTTTTTTTTCCTAAGATTTATTTATTCATGCATACAAGAATAGGGGTACAGGCCAGATATGCGGGAGGGTGAGCAGATTCACCAGAAACAGAGCGGGGAACAGAACAGGCTGACTGACCAAAATACACTGCTGAGGGGAGCAGCGGGCAAGACAGGAGAGGTCTGCTGCATCATTGTGGGTATCTCGCCGGCTGGCTGGGGATTGAACTCGTGCTGTAAAAGCTGCAGACAGCTTCATAGTGCTGCTCTTAACTGCCTGTGCCACCAGGGGAGGCCTTTAACTATACATTTTTAGAGTAGTGGCAAGATGAAAGAAAAGGTTTTCAGGTTTCCAGGGGCACAAATTGTGGAAAGGCAAATACTCAGGGAACTAATAGTAGGTGAGGTTTGTTACTAGTTTCCTTTTGTGCTGGTTTCAGACTGACAAAGTGTTATAGTTGTTTGCTATGATTAACTTCTTTACTTCCTGATAGAGAAGGAGGGAAACGCAAATTTTTGTCCTGTTTTTAGATAAATAGAGGGGGAAATGAGAGCTTTTCTTCTATCTGGTTCTTCTTAGTTATTTTCAGTTCAAAATAATCCTTATGCTAAAGTGGCATCTTTTTGAGAGGCAGTTTCTGCAACCTTCAAGCACTATTACATATTTAAGAACAGATATTCAGCAAATTACTTATCTAGTGAGGTGGGCCTGGTTGGTGATGGTGGTAATATTCAGTCAAAACTGAAAAGTAAATATAAACCAAGGAAGGGTCTTGTAATTTCTCATAATACTTCTCAGTATTAATTCAATAAAATTAATTCAATTTTCTGTAGCTGGGTCTAAAAAGAGAATAAGAAAAGTATAGTTTGAAAGGAGGGATATAGAAAACTCTAGGAGAATTTTTTTATATGCAATGCAAATTCATATCTCTTTGTTTATAAATATATGGTGACCACACCTGAAGGCAGAAAACCTATTCTGCGAAAAAAACAAAACAAGGATGTGACATAATGGTTCAGTAGGTTTTTTTTTTGAAAATCTGTTACTGTTGAGGAAGTATTTTGATTAAGACTGTCCTCACATATTTCAGTTTTGAAATTTTGTGTTTGAGCTACTGGACAGAAGGAACCTTGAATATGAGCCTAGAGCAGGATGATTTGTGTGTGACTGTGGGAAGCCAGAGAGCACAGCAGATGCCATGGAGCTGTCTTTCTACAGTGCAATTCTGTGTCAATACTGACACCTGGCTTACAAAAATTAACAAGAGGAAAACGGGTAGAAAAAAAAAAAGGAAGGCATTAATAATTAAAAAATGGAAAGCAATTCAAAATCCTGAGTTTCAGCAGAGTATTTTGGTATTCCTAGCAAAGGTTACTGTTAGGGATATTGTCTGCCTATGATGCAAACATTGAGATATAGATAAAGATACACATATAAATGTAGATAAATCTATAGATAAAGATATAGATATATAAATATTTCTCAGAATACCAGGGAAACATATGCAAAACCATGACTTTTCCTTAAGTGACTACTATTTTAAATCAGTGTTTTCATATGTGAAGTAGAATTAGTCACATTCAACTGGATGGTGACTATTAAGTCATTGCACATAAGTAAAAAATGCAATCATATTTTGGTCTACTGCCTAATAGAGAACTAATAGACATCACTACCAGTGAAAATGGAAACCTTTATTTACCTTCCACCTAGTTTTATACTTCGACTCATTCTACCTACCTAAGAAAGTATAAAATACTTTTAGTCGTGCTATTTTTATTATTTTATTAAACTGTAATTTCTCAAAGATGAGATTTTCTGAATCTTTTATGGGCTTTCCTTAAGTTTTTAAACTTTCTCATTTTCTGTTTTTATAGCCTTGAAAGAACATGCACATATATAGAAATGGCATGCCTATTATGTTGTGAAACAATGGAATTGTGCAATACGTACTTCATTTCACAGTTAACTAATTCAATTTTATTTGATAGAAAAGTGTCCCAGTTGTCCATTAATGATTAATCCAACAAACATTTTTATCACCTTTGCACATATAATTAAACACACACAATACTGGCATTTGTAAAGCTTGCTAAAGGGTTTTTTGTTAGATTTTAAATTGAATTAAAAGATCAGTCTTCCTGTGGCATTTTAACTGCCGATCCTCTGCAGCAAACTGTACAAACACACTACCTCTTACACATGAGTGTGCTTCAAAAATCTTAAGAATCACCAGAGTCCTCCTTATTTTATTAGTATGAGTGCATCTTCAGATCACATTTCATTTCTCCAAGACCCTCTTAAAATGCAATACTCAGAACTGAATGTAGCTATTGTCTACCAAGTAGAATAAAATTGTTAAGGCTGAGAAAACAGATGGTGCGCATCCTTATACTGTAGAGTGGCATGCCAGCAGTATGTCATTTAGGCTTCATCAGGTGTCAGTTTGGTTATGCTAAACTACTTTATTCCTTATTGCCTTCCTTGCATGTTAAGATGTACCACAGGGGAGATACTTGGGAAGGTCTGGAGGGAAGTAACTTTTTTTGTAGCTCACACATGTTTTAGATCAGCTGACTCACCTTCTTGGGGTGAAGTAGCAGCTGGTCCTGTAACTGCTCTACCTTGGCCTCCACCTCAATTCAGCTTCTTTAACTCCTGGGTCAGGTTTGTGCATTAGCTCTGTGGTGAAGGACTCTAGAACATCTGCAGAATACCCTTGACATCAAGGTTCAGAAGTGACAAAAACTGACATGGGTAACAGCTTATCTTTTGGGGGTTTCAACTCATTCTTATTGTGTGTTTCAGTATTTCCCTGACTACCCCCATTGTATATCCATCTTCCGTTCCTGGCTGCTTGCCTAGTAAACTTCATGCTCCAGCTTTAAAAGCAGAGACAAAAGCCTTACTGAGAATATTTAACCAGCTCTCATAATTACCCAATTCCCTGTAACCAATTACATTATATTTATCTCCTACTGGTTCTGCATCTCTGGTTGAACACATATAATTACTATCTATTTAAGTTTTTATTATTTTCAAATTTAATTTTGAAATAATTCATACATACATGCACATCTTGTTATACCTCATTTATGAAACAAAACATGGCTGATCCACCGGATGCTGGTGCCCTTTGGCATTCACTGTTATTCTTCTCGCATTGCTCCACCTGGGAACCGCTGCAAGAATTTTATGCTTATCACCGCTTTGTTTCTTAGTTTTAAAGTAGAAGTTATTTAATTTTGCACATAATTTGAACTTCAAATAAATAGCATAACTTCAGACAATCATGTGTCAGTGATATCTCAATGAAAACTGTTTTCTTAAATCTACATCTCGTTTGTTAAGATAGTATTTTCTACTAGATAGGCCTCTCCCTTCCCATTCTATATTTTTCCTGGTTAAATTTAATTACTTGATTTTGGACCATCAGCCTAGACTGTTCACATTAGTTTAGATCTTGTTTCAACTGTTAACATATCAGATCTCCAGCTGCAGCTGTGTTTTCCATCAAGACATGCTAAGAATACTTTCTATGTAGTCTTTCATGATAGTTTCATATATAAAAGAGAAATATACATTGAATTTTGCTTTTTTCTTTTAATAAATGACTGAATAATCATATGTCCACCTGAAGATATGTTTTCTCCTTGTTTTTCAAGCATCTGATAGTATGTATATCTAGAAGGTGTTTGCTAATATTTTTGTTAGTATTGACCTTTTACAATAGATAGCAACGATCATTAGCAAAGTGTCATAACAAAGCAAGAATGAGCTTAACTCTGTAACTACAGTTCTCTATACTTCTGGTCTCCACTTACTTGTGCCTTGGCAAAGTCATGATAGAAAGGATTGCTTCTTTCTATCTACAGTCCAGAATTAGCTCTATGCTTCCCACTGTAAATTACTTTACCACTGGTATTTTTTTTTTTTTGTTATGTTTTTCTTTCGGATATTTGGGCTGCAGTAGAAACAATTTTTTTTTTCATTTATTTTTGCTTAGCAAAAACTAATAGTAATGGGTATACCATGTAGTATTAAGGGAAAATATTTCAGGCCAAGAACTGGGAATAAGATTTGTATTTGTGTAAAAATATGGGCTGATTTTTTTACATTTTTAAAAAGTGCTGCTGCTTGCTTCTGTAGCATAAATCAAGAATGAGATGTAATAAAAGGATTTAAAATGAATATTGGAGAGGCTTCAGCATTCTGTAACAGGGTTGATCAGAATATCAGGAAGTATTTACTTGAACTTGTGGTTTAAACACTGTTATTCTGAAATGAATCTAAAAGTAAAGGGAAAAAACACATTCATTTCTTCAATGTTTTAATTCATGTATCATAAATTAATCACACATTAATTCAAGGTTGGTTTATTATTACTAATATTTTTGACACATCTGTAGTCAAATGATATTGTTAAATTTCTCTATCCCTTATCAATAGTGATGTACATTGCTTATCTATCTGTCCATTCATTTACTTTTATTAACCAAATACAATTTTTTCTCCTGGAGATGACTGTTTTTCTCTCTTTCTTTCTTTTTTCTCTTATTGAAAATTTTCTATGGCTTATGGGAGACTTAGAAACAGAGACTTAGTAACCTCTGAGGGCAGAACAAGGCTGGCACAAAAGCCCTTTGGAAGTTAGATCCAAGATCTGCATGAAAGTTGTGTTGAGGAATGCAGGTTCTTTGTGAGTGGAGGTGGGATGAATTCCAAAGCTGAGAAGGTTGTTACACTGTGTTCCTTCAGGCCCTGCTATCAGCAAGAGACTCTACTGCAGGAAAGTCCTGTTCTCTGTCCAGGCAGCAGCCTTGATAAGCCAAAGGGCACAGAGTACTTTCTCATGCGGGATTATAGAGGGGCTTCCCATAGGTTAAGGTGGCCTACTGGACATTTGACCGTGCAGTTACAAAGAACCTAGAAGCAGAAGGAAGAGGTCACTGAGATGTTGCCTGATGCTCATGTTCAAAACAGTAACAGGACAATGCCATTTGGCAGGCCTGTGGGTGTCTAGCTGCCTTGTATGTGGCCTGTAGCCAGCTCGCGGAGACCATCGAGGATACAGGTACTATTCCGCTGGAGGTATGTGAACAGTTCCAGACAGACATGGGCAAGAAGATTCTCAGCAATCTGAGAAAACCTGAGGACCACTGAGTCCATTTCCACGAGAATGCCGCCTCCTAAGGTAGGTCCCTGAGGCCGGAGGAACCCTCAGCTGAACTCCCTCCTCCCCACATCAGGCAGGGACTTGGGTGTTGGAGGCGATGGCCAACAGCTTGCTCTGCTTAGAAGCGCCTACATGTCCGTTGTGGGAGGGCTGGATCAAGGAATGATTTTTGATACTATGAGCATTTTGTGTAGTTTAGAAAAGTTGCAATGCAGCCATTTTCAACAAAATGGAGGGTGTTTGAAAAAAATGATGAGTAGTAAAGCAAGTCAGAACAATAAAAACATACTGGACAATGACATAGCAGATAATTTGATCATGTAAAACCCTTAAAAAAAAACAGTGACCATCAAAAATCACCATAAAGGCTCTGAGATAAAAAGGGTGCGGGAAGAGGAAAGGACATGGGATACGAAGTGTGGTGAGGGGGGAAAAAAGAATCAGGTCACTGGGTACCATGTTTAGCTGCCCCTGGAAACAAAAAACAAAGAAAAGAATTTTGCCCTAGCTGTTCCCCTGCTTGCTGTCCAATTTCTTTTGCAGCCTTACAACACAGACCCCGCCCACCTGACCCTACCCCTAACTGGGGTTATCCTCCAGTTGTAGTTTGGGGTTTGTGGCCTTGGAACACAAATAAGTAAGGGGCTTTCCAAGATAAAAGTTTCATGCTTGGACTAATTCTGCTGTTTTCACCTAATATCCTTTATAATTTTATCTTTGAACTTATATTGGCCAAGTGGAGTTTGATGGGCTAATGGAGTAACCACACTAGCAGTGGACATACACTTAATCTCTGTGTCCACTGCCATCCCTGGACACCTCATTTGTAGATGGCACTTGCAGCGCCCTGGCAGCCCAGAGTTACAGTGGAATCACCCATGCGTGGGAATTCACTCAAAGTGAGTATTAAGTGATCTCGTATTTATAACTAAGAGGGAACAGGGCACTGACAGCCCCTAGAGTTCATGCTTTCCTTTGAATAGAACAGGCTTCAGAGGCAGAAAGAAGGCAAAGGCCTTCTACAAAGTACAAATGACTAAGGAACCCTATCATATCCTTTCTCACTCATGGCAGTTCTTTGTATTACCAACTATTTAATACTGAAAATAATGACAGAGAAGGAAGAGGAAATATAGAGCAATCCATTGTTCTTCCTAATTCAATAAGGCAAAAATAGACTTTAATAGAATGTGCATGTACCAAGCAGTAAAATGAAAGCATTTCTGTCCCTTACATTCAGCATTTTCACTTATTTGTTAAAAACAAAATACAAATATATACTTGTTATGAAATATAAATTACCTAATTTCATCAATTCAACATTTGAGTTAAATACTCTAGTATTTGTATATAATCTGCTATTAGAGATAATTGCTCATAATTAAATTTTTTCTTTCTTTAGAGCAACATTAGATAGAAAGCAAAAAAGAGGGCCTACCTGGTGGCTCAAGGGGTTAAGACGCAACCTATGAAGCTACCTGCAGCCACTGCAGCACTAGTTCAATCCCTGGCCAGGGAGCTACCCACATGGTGCAGCAGACCTCTCCTGACTCGCCCACTGCTCCCCTCAGCAGTATATTTAGGTTGGTCTGCCTGTTCTGTTCCCTGCTCTGTCTCTGGTGAATCCTCTCATCCCCCACACCTCTGGCCGTACCCCAGTTCTTGTATGCATAAATAAATAAATCTTAAAAAAAAAAAGTAAAGTGAAAAAGACAAATCGAGAGAGAACAAAATCGTCATGATGGAACTTCTTGCTTTTTGTTGAAGTGGGAGGATTCTACATTATACAGAGCCCTACAACTGATGAAATCAATCTCTGGAAACTCTGGAGAGGCGCTTGCATGCCATCGAGGTCAGTGACACTGTCTTCTAGGTGCTCTATCAGTTGCTTTGACTATCCTTCCCGACTTCCCCATTATGGCTAGTTGTTCTAAAGTCTTTGCCAATTTTTAGGGGCCAATTTGCTGAGACTTACACCACTGCTTTGGCCCGCTTGCTTCACCAACAAAGGGGCCAACATTACTAAAATGCTTTTTCAGAGCACTGCCAAAACAAAAGAGCTCTTTTCTCTTGGCTAAGGAGCCCTGCAGAGCCATCAACAGATGGATAATGTAATTCATCCCCGTGTCAGGTCTGAAAGATGCTGCGTCCCAAAGAGTGTGTTCTCTGCACCTGCTTCCTTCATGGACCCTGTGATCAGAATGCACTTGCTAGTTACTTTTCCGTCTTCTCCATGCCAGGGATTTTGATGGTAGCTCTATCTGTCCTTTTAACTCCTAGCCCACTCAGGAATTCATTACAGAAGTCATAAAGTGAAATTTGTGGTGTTTGGTGATAGCAAAGAAAGCTGAGAAACTGTAATACTTTCCACTTTATTACCAGATTTTTTAATTGAGGAAACAATGATTTACAATGCTGCATATGATTTTTTAAGACTAACCCTAACACACTGTATATTACCCTGAATACATTTCAGCCCATTTTTTTTTTCATGTGGGGTCTTTATCTTTTGTACTGATTTATTGGTGCTTTTTAAATATTAAGGATATTAACCATTTAGAGGTGATATATTACACATTTTTATTCCTAATCTGGATTTTGTTTTTACTTTGGAGTGAATTTCAGCATGTACAAACTTTTTCATTTTATGTAGTGAAAATTTCAGCCTTTTTCTGGATCCTTAAATTTTGTGCATACGAAGGTCTTTCTTATCCCTCAAACAATTTTAAATTCTTGTATACTTTTGAATAATTGCATTGAATTGGTAGATTCATTTGGAGAAGTTTGGAATCTTTGCAGTACTGAGTGCTCTCTATTTTATTCTCGCCCTCCATTTTATTGTCTTAGGCAATTTTAAGCTTTTCTTCATGCAGGTTTTACACAATTTCAGCTAAATTTATTCATAAGTATATCGGCTTTTATTTTTAAATTATTAAAGATATTTTAAGATAAATATTTGCTATTTCTGCAAGTAAAAATGTATGGATAAATTTTTGCAGACAATTTATACTTTAAAAGGCTTTTTATCCTATTCTCATATTTAATAGATATTTAAACAGGACCTAGAATTCTAGGTTGGAAATGTTTTCATTTAGCAATTTGAAATTTCCAAATACCAGAAATTTCTTTCTCTTCTGTGAGAAAGTCAAAGTGATCTTTTTTCTGACCAATTTCATATTCTTTTCCCCTTCTATGTAATGTATATGATTTTGTTCTTGTCAACAGTGTTCTAGAATTTCAGTGTGGTATAATTTCATTCCATTGGTGGAAAATTTCTGCTTTCATTTTCTTCGGTTTTAGTTAATTTTTGAATTATTTTCATTGTTGATTTCCTCCCTTTGTTTCCTTTCTTCTTTCTGTTTTTTTTTGGGGGGGGATGTTAGGCCTCTTAGACTAATCATTTAGTATTATCTTTTTTCTCTTATTATAGGTATTTCTTTTTCTTTCTGCTTTACTTTGTGTGAGACTTTATCAACTTTGTTTTCTAGAACTTCTTTATTTCATTGGTCATATTTAAATCTTATCTCCTTTTCCTTTCCTAAATGTTTCTTTTCATAATAGCTTATTTTTTTTCCCCACAAATGCAATCTCATCTCAATCTGAGGGTTTCTTATGATAATTTCATCTGAAATTTCTTTTCCCTCTATGAATTATGAGGGCTTTTTTTTTTTTTGGTGTTTCTTCAATATCTCCAGTCCTTTCCTTGGATTAATAATGATTGTGGATATTAAAAATTATTTTAATAACAGCTATGGCAATTTTTGACTTTGAGCTTCACGTGAAGATTATGTTGAATCATGTTTTGGTCATGTACTCCCGAAAGTATTCTTTCAATTTCCTTTCTGTGGAGTAAAGGCAATGGCCCTTTAATGGTTCTCACCACTTAATATTTAACGTGTGTGGACACTGATCCAATTTTCAATGAAGTACCCATGTGGCCAGCCATATGAAGGCAGAACCAACTGTATAGTCACACTGAGTTCTGTGAAAGGCCCCACACTTGGTTTAATTCTCTATTGTAGTCATCTTGAAATCAGTAACTTAAACAATGGGCCTACATTTCAGTTTTTCTCTGTGCCTCACAAATTATGTTTGTACACCCTCAGGTCTGGAGATCAGAGACCAAAGGTCCTCAGTTTTACCCTCTCCAGTTTTCTTGGTTTCACCTTCTCCAGTTTTCTTAAAGGGCGGGAGATGGGTATTTGCAGAATGCTAACAGAGTTAGAGAATCAAGAAAACAAAAGGAGTAAATATAATTCAGGTGGGGAGTGGGGAATCTGTTTCTAAGTTGGGTGTAGGGTAAAGAAAATGTCAGGCTTTTCTGCCCTTCCGCCATCAGGATAGATGATGGATCCTTGTCCTGAATGCATGCCTGATGGCGGGCACCTGGAATAGGGTGTGGGCATAGGTAGATGGGATTCAGCTGAGCTAAGACTGTGCTTTTTAAGGGCGGCGTCACGGGGGGACGCTAGCAGCCCCAGCCAGCAGCAGCAGAACCTGAAGGAGAAGCCGAAGCAGAAGCAGAGAACGCCAGAGAGCCCAGATAGAGTGAAGACTTGCTGGGGGCTGGGAGGCCTGCCAGCCTCCCAGTCCCCCAGCCAGCACCCCTGCCTGCCATATGCCTGGTGAACCCCAAATAAAAGACCTGCAAAACCACTGAGGACTCTGACTCCTCCTTTACCCGGTCTGCATGGGATCAGAAAACCTGCACCTGTGCCCAGTCCTGCCTCTACAATTGGCGTAAGTCGGCAAGATCCATGCAGACAGGTATTGGAGCCCTCCGAAGACCTGGAGGGACTAAGGAGTAAAAGACTGCCTGTGACGACGCTGGAGGCGCCATGGCGGTACAGAAGATGGATACGTCCACGAGCTACAGGATGAGACCTGGCGTGAAGGAGACGCCCGAAAGGACCAGCCAACGACACCGGAAAGGACCAGCCAACGACACCGGATAGGACCAGCCAACGACACCGGAAAGGACCAGCCAATGACCCCTGAGGCAGCAGGCCATTGCTGAAGCAGGGAGAGGCCAATGGACTGATAGACTGATGAACTGATGATTTTGGACTGACAATCCTGCCAGAAGGCGGAGGACCTTAGCAGGTTATGTTTATTTTTTGAGAATCTGGGGGTGGCCAGTGGGCCTAGATGGCCAAAAGCAGCCTGTGTATGCCCAGTGGCCAGGTGGAGGAGAAAAGCCAACTGAGAAAGCAAAAGCTGGTACTGATGATAAGTTGAGAAGCCCTGAGCGGCTGTTAAGCAGCCTGGGTATGCTGAAGAACTGTGAGTCTCGTAAAATCACCTGTGGGTGATGCCCTGCTCATTCTTGAGTGAGGGTGAGGAGCTGAGGAGCCCGTCCTTGGGGGACGGGTGGGGAATGTGGCTTGGGGTGGAGCCCAAGCCAAATGCAAAGTTTGGATCCCCAACCCATGTGCTTGTGCAGTGGGTTGGCTTGAGAGCAGGGGTCTGTGAGTCGCATGGGTGGCCATGAAGGCCGAGTGTTGGAGCGACTGCAGACAGAAACCCTGAGGGTTGGCGATTACCCCCAACAGAATAAAATTGCCAATCCCAGAGCTAGTGCATCCTGGGGGTGGATGCTGTGTGTGCCTTGTAGCAGAGACTACAGCCAGAGAAGGCCAGGAAGCCTGACGGCTCCTGGTGTGTTATAGCAGATGCCGTGTGTGATTTCCCCTCCCTCGTATGAGCAGTGCCTTCGGCAGCAGATTTGGTGGCTCATCTGCTGGTACCAATAATTGTCTTTTGCACTTGGTTGGTGCCCTGCCTGGACTTATTTGTGTTCTGTTGTATTTTGTTATGTTGTATTTTGTTATTTGATGTATTTGCTTTTGTGGGCCATGGCTGCATTGTTTGTTTGCTTAGAAAATTGTATATATATGTATAGACTATATGGCAGAAAACCCTGAGGGGGTGGACTGTAGGGTAAAGAAAATGTCAGGCTTTTCTGCCCTTCCGCCATCAGGATAGATGATGGATCCTTGTCCTGAATGCATGCCTGATGGCGGGCACCTGGAATAGGGTGTGGGCATAGGTAGATGGGATTCAGCTGAGCTAAGACTGTGCTTTTTAAGGGCGGCGTCACGGGGGGACGCTAGCAGCCCCAGCCAGCAGCAGCAGAACCTGAAGGAGAAGCCGAAGCAGAAGCAGAGAACGCCAGAGAGCCCAGATAGAGTGAAGACTTGCTGGGGGCTGGGAGGCCTGCCAGCCTCCCAGTCCCCCAGCCAGCACCCCTGCCTGCCATATGCCTGGTGAACCCCAAATAAAAGACCTGCAAAACCACTGAGGACTCTGACTCCTCCTTTACCCGGTCTGCATGGGATCAGAAAACCTGCACCTGTGCCCAGTTCTGCCTTTACATTGGGCTTCATACTATTCTTTTCATTTTAGCGTCGTCTTTCACTCTCCTTTCTTTTCCCTAAAACATAACTGTTCCTAAATCTGCTTTCCATAGACACCAAAGTCATAGCATGCTGCCAACAGATTTTTCTCTACCATTCTTATACATGGCTGGGCACCCTAATCCGGGCTACCTGTTGATAAAGATTCCTCTTTATCAATAGTGAGGTAGGGTCATTCTCCTGAATGCTCTGCTTACACTATGTGTCCAGAAGAGCACTTCAGCCTAAGCATGCCTCTTTGTGTGATAAGGAGATGTTTTGGGGGATCTCTGCACCTTTCTCTCACTCAGTCTCTCTCTCTCTCTCTCTCTCTCTCTCACACACACACACACACACACACACACACACACACACACACACACACACACACACGATATCTTTTTTTTTTGGTGTGACACTCGCCTGATATCTTTTTTTTTGGTGTGACACTCGCCGGTGGCCGGAGCTCAAACTAGCACTGCAGAGGCTGTGGGCAGCCTCGCAACCCAGCGCTCAACCGCTGCGCCACCAGGGGAGGCCCGACACTGTTGATATCTGGATCCATAAGTTAGCAGGAAAAAAAACAACACAGGCATTTTGCAGTACTTCCATTTACGCAAGTGCAGGTAGTAATAGAGGAACCTGGCTTTCACGAATTGCAGTGATTTCAAGGTTAATTGCCTGATGCAAAAGTGGCATCAGTGCTTTCAGCAGGATTTTTTTTAAAATGTGAATTCCTGACACTTAATGCTTGCTGGAGGCAGTGGCAGCGGTTGGATTCTGTGATAAAGCATTACAATGTTATTCTTGGTTCCTCTCCAGTCTGTATGTTGAGTTTGTCTTTTTTTGGCTAAACTGACCAGATGGGTTATTTTGTTTGGCACTAAGAATCACAAATGATACCATAATGTACAAGTAGTTGGAGGAAGAGCACATGAGAAAATGGAAAAGTGAGATTATTCTGGAGGCATGGTAGAATCTGCACCAAAAGAAAAACCTGAGAGGATACAGCTGAAATGAAAGGAAAGGACCGTGGTACTTGATAGCATGTTGTGACCAAGAAACTAACTCAATTTATCTTTTAGAATGAAGTGGCATTGATGGGAAGACCTCAGATGCCAAGTGCTTCAAGGATGGAAGAGTATATTAGTTGAGAATTCAAGGATTGTGGAATCGGTTGCTTATTTTAAACTGTGCTGGAACCTAAAAGAAAAAAAGAAAGTAAGAGAATGGTAAATACAAAGGTCTGAAATATTGGCTATGCAACTGTTAGAAGAACAAGAAATTTGTTTCTATTATAAAATAATACTTATCATTTGCAACTTCAAAAATAAGGTAGCAAGGTAGCTAAAAATCAAACTAACATTTCTTACCTTCGAGTTGCTATAGTACAGTGAGTTGAATTTGCTAAATCTGTGTCTCTGATGCAAGAAATCTACTTCCTGGGCAGGAGTGGGGCTGTGAGCATTTGTATAGAGATGTATTGGAAGATGCAGATGACTTAGAGTTTCTAAAATGCCCAGTTTTCATGGAATATTCTTTTTTTTTTTAACACATTTTTTTTTTTTTATTTATAGAGGCATGTTTTTATTTATTTATTTATTTATTTGTTTGTTTGTTTTGTTTATACATGCACTGGGTACAGTCAGAAGCGCGGGAGGGCGAGAGAATTCACCAGAGCCAGAGCGGGGAGCAGAGCAGGCAGAAGGACTGAAGTACACTGCTGAGGGGAGCAGCGGGCGGCAGGAGAGGTCTGCGCGCCATGTGGGACCCTCCTCCGGTGGCCGGGGAGCAGCTAGGGATCGAACCGCTGCGCTGCAGAGGTCGCCGGCAGCTTCGCAACCCAGCGCTCAACCGCTGCGCCACCGGGGAGGCCCATTCATGGAATATTCTTTAGCAACACAAATAGCTCCTATTTTTCTCATGAAGAAGCAGATCCTACTTGCAAAAAGACTCAGTGCCAAAGTCATTCAAGACAACTACCTTTTAAGAAGAACTTAGTCTTCCTTTACTCCTTGTCTTTCTGCATTGTAACTACAATTGAAGCCTGGCATATCCTGGGGGTTACAAAGATGCTTTCAAAAATTGCAACAATGTGAAGATTTATGTAGTAACAGCATAGGAATATTTTTTTTTTATAGAGGCATGTTTTTATTTATTTATTTGTTTGTTTGTTTATTTATACATGCACTGGGTACAGTCAGAAGCTCGGGAGGGTGAGAGAATTCACCAGAGCCAGAGTGGGGAGCAGAGCAGGCAGAAGGACCGAAGTACACTGCTGAGGGGAGCAGCGGGCGGCAGGAGAGGTCTGCGCGCCATGTGGGACCCTCCTCCGGTGGCCGGGGAGCAGCCGGGGATTGAACCGGCACTGCAGAGGCTGCAGGCAGCTTCGCAACCCAGCACTCAACCGCTGCGCCACCGGGGAGGCCCAGCATGGGAATATTTATGGAAATGGTTTCTGTGGGTGCAATAATTTGGATTACTGAAAATGGTATCACAGTGCTTCCCTAGATTAATTACATTATGCTGATAGACCCTCATGAATAGTAATAACAGGTAGTCTGAATGCAGTGATGAAAGCATGTATACTGGAGGATTGGAGAAAACTATTCCCTTCCTTCAATACAGTTGGCTTCATCTCAAATTTTAGGTGTCCATTGCTAATGTACTTTGGGATATCTTGAGATTGTTTTCACCAAAATGAAAAGCATGTTACAATGCTTTGTACTGCTTTTCACTAAGATAAGATAAAATACACAGAACTCATTAGGTCTCTGTTTATTTGAGTTGCAACATGAACATGCACACATGGGTATTCATTAAATAGTAGTTTCAAGTGAGGCTGAGCCCATCACAAATGGAGCATTAGATAAATTACCAAATTGTGAAGTCAATATATGTTTAACAGTTGCCTTCGTGTTCTAGATATAAAATAGATGTGATCAAGCATGAACTCCAAAGATGCAATAGTGCATGAGCAGGTGACTCACATTTCTGGCATATACCTGCAGAGATATGCATGCACCCAAATTCAGGCAACACAGAGTAGGGGAAAAATGGTTGGGGAGCTGTCTCCTGGGGCAAAGGATTAACCCCACACTAAGCTGTGCTGATGTCTTGCAGTTCAATTCCCACATGAGTGTGTGGAGTTGGCTCCACACCAACGAACAAAGTCTTGGACACCAGCAGAGTGTCTGAGAATTCAGCTCAATTCTCAAGTCATCAAACCAAACAGTAGCAGATTTCATAGGTTAAGGATTCAGTCTCCCAAGACCAGTCTCCACTTTAGACACCAGTCACAAGCCCACACTATTGTCTTCTGACCAAGTGGCTATGTAATCCGAGGTTCCCAGCACCCTCTCCTCCAGGTTTTATTGACTTGCTAGAACAACTCACAAAACTCAGGTAAACTGTTTACTAAGTAGATGGCCAATTGATTACAAAAGATAGAACTCAGGAACAACTAAATGGAAGAAAGGCAGAGGGCAAGGTATGGGGAAAGGTGTGGAGTTTTCATACACTCTCCAGGTGCTCCATTCTCCCCAAATTTCCAAGTTTTCACCAACCAGGGAACTCTCTGAGATGCTCCTTTTATGGCTATTATGGCAACTTAATTAACTAGGCGTGATTGATTAAATCACTGGCTATTGGCAAATGAACTCAACATGGAACTCCTCAGAAATCAGAGGACTGGACTGAAAAGCCCCTTTGTTGGTTTCCATGGCAGTTTCCAAGGTTCCCTTCATTAACATAACAAGAGGCAACTTTAACACTTAGAAAGTTCCAAAATTTGGGGAGCTGAGAGTCAGGATGAAGATCAAATATGTATAAGAGATATTTTGGTTATCAGAATGACCAAGTAGATAAATGTTCTAAAAATTACAATGTCACACAAGCACTCAAGGAAATGTTGCAAGAACACTAATAGGATAGTTCCTGGAAACATGGAAAGAGCCATGCCCCATGCTGGAATC